TCGCAGAGTATGCGCATGAGAACAAAAGGAAAGAAATGAAGCTTCTCAACGTAAGGGTACACGGCATCAACAACAATGCCAGACAGAAGATAAAGCCCACACAGCAGGCGACACAAGAAAACGACCATCAACCATCTAGGTATCTGCAGAAGGGCAGACGTATTCTGCCAAAAACAGCGTCCGAACATTTGGGGGCTGCCCTTGTGATGATTCTCTCTCCTGGTAGGTTGGAGAAGCAACCAGGGTAATTTTCATCCTGAACTCAATTTCCATCAACGAGGAAGAACTGGCTAGCGAAACCGATGGGGACGCCCAGGGGCAGGTGAGAGCCACGGCGACCAGCACACTCAAGTTCCCAGATGCCAAAGATCTCCAAGGAAACGCCAAACAACAATAGAAACCCTCCCACGTCAAATTCCATCAAAGCAGCAAGGACTGCCTGAAGAAATGGATGTGGTTAAACAGGCAGCCACGTGATGAGCTCTGAGTTTTCAAGTGCACCACATATCCTGTTAAGTTTTTACTGGAAGGTACCATACCTACAAAAAGCTGCATGTGTGCGACTCAATGAACCGTCACAAATGGAACACACCAGTGTGAACAGTGTTCTGACTGAGGAACACCATCACCGCGCCCCAGAAGCCCCCCGGCCAGATGCCCCCTTCGAGTCACTAATTACCCAAGGAACACTAATCCTGATTTAATGGCGCAGATTCATTTTGCCCGTTCCTACCACTTACATAAACAGAATCGCACACCATGTGCTATTTTGTATTTGGCTTATCGCCTTCAACACCACGCCTGTGAAAGCTGCCACCGCTCCTCCTTCCTGCCACACGACACCCCAGAGCAGGCACGACCGTGCCACTGGGAGCCATCCTGTGCTGATGGGCGCGGGGCGGAGCCAGGAGGAACCAGCAGGGCCGACGCGTATGCATCTCCGCGTAGCGTTTCTGCCGCCGCTGGCAGAGTACAGGGCTCGGGCTGCCCCGCACCCTGGCCGGCTTCGGCGTCTTCCTGACTCCTTCACCTCAGCGGTTCCGGTGCGTGGACAACAGTATCACTGACATACTTTTTGTATGTATTTTATTGGTTCTATTTTCTTTACTTCCAAACGGAAACGAAGTCAGCTTGTGATAAAAAGACGGATTAGATGGAAACAACTTTTTTTTTTTTTTTAAAGATTTATTTATTTGACACAGAGAGAGAGACAGCTAGAGAGGAAACACAAGCAGGGGGAGTGGAAGAGGGAGAAGCAGGCTCCTGGCTGAGCAGGGAGCCCGATGCGGGGCTCGATCCCAGGACCCTGGGACCATGACCTGAGCCGAAGGCAGACGCTTAACGACTGAGCCACCCAGGCGCCCCAAATGGGAACAACTTTTAAAAGCTTTTTAAAAGGTAAAATTGTAAAGAAAGAGGGCAAATAATTAAACCTATACCAGGGTATTAGTAACTACCACGGTTTGGCATAAAACTTATTCCTGAAATTTCTAGCAGCTCATGCCGAAAGGGAAATGTGGTGAGCCGTAGAGCTTTCAGTCTATGTCTCGTAAAAGGAGTTCGTAACAAACGGTCAAAAGGAATTCTGTCTGGAGGTTTAGATCAGAGTTCACAACATAATGGATACTTTTCAACAGCAATTTTATAAAAGATACAGACACACTTTGCGTAAGGTTCTCTGGTTTCTTAACGCATCTCTGTACAAGTTTTGGACACAACACTAAACCGTGATTTTCTGAGGTAGCTCTTCCATAACTAAGCTCCTCAGAGTGAACTGCCAGAGGGTATGTTGGCTTCCCCTCTCAAATATCAGTTGTCTTAGGAGCCTTTTAAAAAAAAATAATTTTCTCTTCTGATTATAAAGGTAATAAAAAGCTCATTATAAAGAAACAGAAGAAAAAAATAAACCATTAAGCCTACCACCCAGAGATAGCCTTCCAGAGTTTTCTATAATAGAAAGTGTCCATCAGCACTTTCAATTCATTAACTTTTTTTCCTTTTTTAAAATCAATAGCAGATTATGCTATCTATTCTGTGACCAGTTCATTATTTTAACAGCTGCAGAAAAACTAATTTATTTAACCAGAACTCTACTGAAATACAAATTGCTCCCAACTTTCTGCTATGAAAAATATAAATCTTCCTGTACTTTTCTAATTGTTTCATTAGAATAAATGCACAGAAGTAGAATTACTAGGTCAAAAAGAAGGCTTTGATACACCACCAAACTGCCCCCAACACTGAAACTCATTTACACCCCTCATTAACCTGTAATGAAAGAACTTATGAACTTGCATTTCACTAATCCTAGGTGTGATTTTTCTTGTAGGTGTTTTTACCATTTGCCAGGTTAAAAAAAAAAAAAAAAAAGCATTCCTTTTTGAAGTCTCTGATTCTTTGGTTTATAGCAAGGATAAACAACATTTCACAAGTCTGTTGGCCATTTGAATTTCTTAATCTGTGAAATGCTATGGTGTTATTCTTCAATTCAACCCATATATATTTATTATAAGCCTAACTGTTGCCAGGCGCACTGTTGGGTACTGGGAATACAGAAATGAACAAAAATGGAGGAAAATCTTAGGTAACATCCCCACAGATTGCAGGGGTCTCATGTATCAGCATTCTGGATGCTGAAGAGCACTACCCAGAATGCAGCTCTGCCTAACAGCATCATTCCAGATGAGCCGTTCTGACGGCAATTTCCTTGCTGAGCCCTCCAGTGAGACCACATCACCTGCCTTCTTGAGCAACAGTGGAATGACATGTACCAAGTTTATCTGAAATATGTACCAAATTATACAGGAGTAAGTCCAAGGGGAAATAAAACAGAAAAAATGGAGGGGAAAACCCCAATCAAAAACGAACCCATGTATTAGGGACCCATGTAATAGGGTTGGGGTGGACTGAACCTGCGGGGAAAGCTGTGGAGAACGCTGATAAAGGCTTTCCGGGGATGAAACCCCGACAAAGATGGAAAGGAGAGGTCCTCTGTCTGAGAAACACGGTGCTCTTTGCTCTCTGCGTTCTTGATTCGGGGTAATTCTAAAATAGCAAAGTCTAAAGCACAGATGGTTAGCACAGCGTGGAATCAGTGTGCCTGAGCTTAGGGCATCTGTCTCAGACCCTATCAGGGTTCAACCTCTGCATCATGAACTCGAGGACACAGGCAAAACGCTGGCCAGATGTTCTGAGGAAAAAGCTCTAGGAAATCTTTCATACCACAAAGAACAGAATCCAGATTCGAACCCAAAGGGTGAGGAGAGGCTGGAACCAGAAGCCAAAACCACTGAAAAGAAACTCAAGGGCACAGTGCAATGCCTGAGCGGGGTTCGGAGAACTGTTACAGAGCAACCACAGAGGCAGAGAATGAGAAAGACTCACTATGGGTTGGAATGAGAACAGACTGAACCGCAGTTACGGAGGAAAAAGTCCGAGGGGTGTTTAGCAGTTGGCAGAACACAAACCAACAGGTGATGAGGCTGCCAGAGGAGCCAGCTGTCAGGCTCCAGTCACACCTCGAGGGCTACCTGCTCCTTCTACTTCACAAGCTGCCCACCCCCCCGCCCCGGCCAGGCTGACTGGGACAGCCCCAGGAAGGAGACCTGGAGCCTGCCGGGTCCAGAAGCCACCCCCAGGGCCGTGTGAAGGAAAGGAAGAATCTCCGAGGGGCTGAGGCAACATTTTTAAATATCTGGAGAGCTATCATGTAGATAAAGAGCAAAACTCATTTTGGGTAGTTTGGAGACAACATGAAAAAAAAGTAATACGAATGTTAACAACAGGTGCCATTTGCTGAGTGCCTCCACTGAGCAGGCATCGTGCATGATCCCACGCCCAGCCGACCTCCACAGGCCCCCCAGGAAAATGGGGAGCACAGGCGCCACCGCAGAGGTGGGCCGGGTGAGGCAGTGCATGTCCAGCACGCAGGAGAGGGCCTACACAACAAAACCTCTCAGGAGACGGCACCCATCGGTCCAAGTAAGACCTGCACGTGAATGTTCACAGCAGCAGTGTTCATGAAAGCCCAAACGCCCGTCAACCGATGAGCAGATACACCAAATGGAATCTACCCACACAGTGCAACATTCAGCAAAGCACGCGGTGCTGATACCCTCAAAACCACAGGCGAACTTCGAAAATACCACCCTAAGTAAGGAAAGACGTCTGTCCCAAAAGACCACATATGCGATCCATCTATTCACATGAAACGCCCAGAACAGGCAAATCCACAGAGACAGAAAGAAGGTGAGCGGCTTCTCAGCCCCCCGGGGGTCGGGGGAGGGAAGAATGGGGATCGACTGCTATCAGGCTTCTCCTAAGGGATGGGAGTTCTAGCTCAGTAAAGGGCCACGTTTCAAAAGGAGCCCGTTACCACCCTCCCTCGCTCGACAGGGCTTTATGAGGCAGCTAGTTTACAGATAAGGACACAGGCCAACAATGTTCAACTGCAGATGATGGCGCCAGGATCTAAACCAGCTCAAACCCCTACTCCTGGTCACTCTGTTGGTTACACTGGTGCACAAGCGAGTGGAAGGAACAAAGAGGCTGAGTTCAGTGGCACACAGGACAGCAAAGTCTCACCATGTGAGCTGCACTGGGCAGGCCCCAGGGGGGCAGAGCCCACGCCCCACCAGAGGTGGGGCCCGAGGGCGGCTCCCAGCCATGGCGAACGGGGTCCCGCCTTGCTCTTCTTCTACCAGGAGGGTTCACCCGGTAACTCCTGCTGACCTTCCCACGGGAAGGCTACTCTCTATTCTCTCTGTTCCCAATCTCAGAACACCACAGGGGGTTTCCAATTTCATGCTGTTTCATTTAGCTATACCCGCTTCCATATACTTGAGAAATTATGGTGCCCTATAGTTTTTAGAAACTGTACATGTCTTCCACTGTCCAAAATAACAAGATTTCTATGCTGAGATTTATTTCAGTCATTTGACAGAAGAATGGGTGCTAAACAAATGAGCCATGGAGACACTGAGGTCTGCTGGCTTACTTACCGTGAAGTTCATTTCCTTGATGGGCAGCTTCAGGTGTTCAAATCCCACAATCACGGTATACTGCGTGTAGTTCAAGTAGCCCAGGTGGGCCACAATAATTTCTGCACACCTCTGCAAAGATGCAAGGAAGAGCTGTGTCTTTAAAGCAAGCAAGACTGGCTCCCCCACCAACTGACCCATGAAGTAACACATGCCAACAACAGATGAGCCGAACGAACCATCTCCAAGGAACTTGCCAGAGCCCAGAAAAATTCAGATGCCAGCCAAAAACAATTCTTAGAAAGAACCAAATGGATATTTTTGGAAACACATAATAGATGATTTGCAATCATTAGAATCTTTCTACTTTGGACGATTCAAAATAATGTCACCTGCATAAAAAAGTTAACGCAACACAAACCTGACATTCACACGAATACAAGGGGGCAGGGGGAGCGTAGGTTAAGACACAGCAAATCAGACCCCCGAGCCTCACTCTCCTCCCTGCTCACTTCCACAGCCGCTGCGTGATATACAAAGTGCCTGCCCCCTCACCCCTACACCTGTCCTTCCCTACACAGAGCCCCTGTGCTCTCTGTGGGGAGGTCAGGCCCGCACCCAAGGCAAAGGCTACAGGAACAATGGCTAGCGTGATTACACGAGTGTGTGTGCTCACTGCTTGCCCAGAGCCCCCATCTCCTATACAGTTAGGAACCAGGTCCCCCCTACTTCAGCGTGGCTGGGGCGGTGGATGCGGATGTGTACTCAGTGGCCGGGCAGCCAGTGACCTGGGCGCAGCCTCACTGCCTAGTGCACCCCTCAGAAGTCCTCTCGCGGTCTGACAGTCTCTGGGTGGCGCCCGTGTGAGCCGTGGCTATGAACAGGGCAGTCACCCCCACTGTGGATCAAAGGCTCCCCGAGCTGTGAATGTCTGAGGTCATGTAGGAAAACAGATCTGGGTGTTCATGGGAAGCCTTAACAATCGGCAGGCAGGGGGTGCTGACCTAAGGGCCAGGGAAGAAGTCAGAAGGGGTGAGTGTGTGTGTCATCCCTGGTCTCTGCAAAACCAAATTCGTTCCCAACAGTCAGGTCACAGGAGGCACGTGGGGACAGGGGCAGCTAAGTACTGAGCAGTACTTAGTACTCAGCAAATGGATCTGTGCTGCACAGATGACCACTTCTTACGAGTCTGGACTTTCAGAGGATGCTTGAATGAACAAAGCAGTTATATCTCAGCCTGCAGGTATCTTCAAGTTTATAAAAACTACAGTGAGACCACCTGATGGTTTGGAGGTTCTCCATTCAAGCCATGGTTTGCGCACCGATCACAATGTGCCTCTGCAAATCCTTGGGGAAAGCACAGCATTCTTACCCACCCGTCGCGGACCACTTGCTACCTGAGGTGGACAGTGTTTTCTCTTCGCGGCAAGACAAAGATAGTATAAAGGGTGGTCAATAGCTCCAGAACACAAAAAGCCCATCCTTTTTTTTTAAGTCAGGGCAGTGTTCCTGGGAGGGCTGGGGAGGGGCCTGCACAGAGAGAGAACAGTAGAAACTGTGGGAGAGGGGAGACACCACGGCGAGGCACCGAGGGCCACTCTCGAGGGGCACAGTGTGGGGGGCACTGCCAGGAAGTAGACAAGCAGCCCTGCGGGCAGCCTGGCGCTGTTCCAAGTACAGGCCTCAGACAAGGTGACCAAGTCATCCTCGCTGGCCCGAGACTTACCCCGTTTAAAACAGAAAGTCCCCCATCCTGGGAAACTCCTTGGTCCTCGCAAACCAGAAAGATCAGTCACATTAGCCGTAAAATAAAGTCACCAACCGCCTGTTCATCATCACCCGCCCGGTGCGAGAAGGAGCAAAGCTGGAGCTGGAGCTGGAGCGGGAGCGGGACCCCAGTTGGCTTGGGGGTGGAGGCGAAGCCCGCCTGTGCAGGCCTTCCAGACCCGGCATCTGTCCTCCCTGCCGTTTACACAGCAGAACTGGCCGAGCACCTACTGTACACAGACATGGGGGGTGCTCGGCCCCCCACTGGGCACTGCCCACTCTCCCATCCGGTGTCCAACTTGATCCTTGCCACTTTACAAGGACGGTCAGGGAGGGCGTTACCCCACTTTGAGGACAACACATTTGAGAGGCTGGCCCAGGCCTCCTCCCACGGGTGACAATGGAGCAGAGCGAGAGTCTAGTCACTTGTGCGGCTTTCTGAGCAACACCTGCCCACAAGGTGGACCCCGTGGGTGGAGCCGCTGCTCGGGTCAGGGAGTGGCCACCTTGGGATCTTCAGGCAGATGCCAGCAGGGAACGGACCACAGACGGGGGCCAGCATGAAACAGGAACCCTCCCCCACCTGAATCCTTTCCTGCCAGGACACACAGGCCTGCTGCTTCCCTGTCCTGAAGCAGGCGGTGTATGGCTGCTAAGGGCACGAGCTCTAGAACACAAAAGCATGGGCTGAGATCCCAAGCCCTGCTCACTGTGTGTGTCCCTCGGGCAAGTGCTCTGATCTCTCTGAGCCTCAGTTTCTTCTTGTGTACAACGGGGCTCTGGTAACAGGGCTCCGTGGGCCTGCGCTGGGGACTGAGGGAGACCTGAATGTACGGGAAGCCTGGCATGAGGCCTGTCAGGGAAACCACTTTCCTAACCCCCCAATCCACGCATTCTCTTTTCTGATGTTCCCTGTGTTCTCCATACCCCCCACGACCGGCTTCATCCCAGGGGGCCTCCCTACTATATACAGAGCGATCCCAGTTCTGACTCTCGGGATTCTGACAGAATATGGTGCCAAAAAAACAAGAGTGAGGGTTCCTTTCTCACTTTGGACCACCAGGTTTCCCATCGCATAACCACACACCGCACCCTGAAGCAGATGCTCCAACAAGTAGGCCGCTCTCCCTACAAGGCTGGGGCCTCAGGCCCGCAGGTGGAGCAGGGCTGGAAACCAGACAATTCGGAATGACCAGGGAGCAGCGCAGACCTTCACAGGCGACAAGAAGCCCGTGAACAGCCATCTGTAGACACCCCAGGCAGTACACAGTGAAAACAGGCATCCTCTGTGTGTGTGTGTGTGTGTGTGTGTGTGAATGTGTGTACGTTTGTAAGAATTTATAAGGTATCAGTGTAGAGAGTTAGGTGAGTGTTCTGCACCATCACTGGAATGGTTCGATTCTTTTACTCAGGAAAGCAGGCATGTAACAGGGCAGCATGACGAATAATCGCTGACATTCAAACGCACTCACCCCCGCACAGGTGAGGGTCCTCGTCCGATTGTGAACCTTGTTATGAACGAACATGGTGGTTCCATCTTGAGCTACACCGTCAACTTTAACAGTCATGAGGAAGCTTGTCTGAATAGATGTTTCTACAAAAGAAAGAGAGGCAGTGTCAGAGGCCACCTCAGGCACATCACACTTGCCACGGTGAGTCTCCAGAAGGGTCCTGCAACCACCTCAGCCTCAGCACATGTGAAAAGCCTCACACTTGTCTGCAAAGCAAAGCCTTTCCATCAGGTTCTACGTCCAACCCGTTACCCAGGGGCCTATGTAAAAACCTACATTACAGGTCCCCCAGTTTGGGTTCATAAAAGGGCAAGCATTTCATGGCTAATGAAATTTTGTTTTTTAATTTCCCGCATAAATTTCTAACTTAACTTTATACTAAAACAAAATTAGATTTCTTATTTTTCTGATTACATATTTTATTATTTTTCTGTTTTTATGCCCACTGTTAAAAAAAATCAGAGAACAAAAAAATACAAAGATGTCATTAAACACTTACAATCCCACCATCTAGAGATAACCATAATTAACATGTTATGTCCATCCTTCCAGACCATTTTCTAGGCATACAAATACACAGTGACACCAAATTTATTTGTTTTTTTTTAAATGTTACAAAAGGGGGTTAATTTTTTGGTAGTATACATTTTTTTTTTTCACTTAATTTACTGTGGTTCTGGGGTTATCTTTTCAAATTCTTTCACAGCCAAAGCGCCTCATCTGCATCACAGAACATGAAAAACAATGTGGGTGACCACTTTCTCGGTTCTCCCCGGACGACGGACGACGCGTAACTAGTGCCGCTCCAGACTCGCAGAGCTGCAGCGTTAGGGACCGGACGCGCCGGGGCAGGGTTCTCAGCCTCAGCAGCACCGATATTTTGAAGCCAGATCACCCTCTGCTGTGGGACTGTCCCGTGCACTGCAGGATGCTCAGCACCCTCTAGGTACTAGGAGCGCTCCTCCGCCCCGGGGTGACAACTGCCAAGTGTCCCTGGGGGACAGAACCTTCACCTCAGGGCATCAGAACTGAAGGCTCTCCCAGAACCCCAGGGAAAAGGCGCCGCAGCCGTGGCTACCCTGTGGAGCCGCTGAGCTAAGCTGACCTGCGTTCGCTGAGCACTGCATCATAACTTTCTCTGGAAGACACTGGCAGACATGGAAGGGGCTTCCAATCTGTTGCTGTTACAAAGACTAATGAACATCCCTGTGATCCATCTTTGAGCACTTGTTCAAAGATTTTAAAGCTCTCTCGATCTTTAAAATATGGTGCTTTGTACAAAGAAACACCGTTCCGAAATGTCAGGCTTCATACCTTTTGACTGATCCAACTCCACAACGCACGTCAGCCACAGTTGCTGATTATATGTAGACAATGGATTTGAAAGGATTTGAATTGGCTTCAGCTAAGGCAAAAAGAAAAAAGAGTTAAGTAATCCGTGTGACCTTTTCATTAAGTCTACCAAATACCTCATCTTGACGTACAAAATTTACATTTAGTAAAAAAAAAAAGGTTTGTGTAAGCTCGAAACAGAAACGTGTGGTTTTCCTTTAGACAATATAAGTAAAATTTTGCCTTCCAGAAAAAGACAAGACTAGCTTCCTATTGCAACCCCCTCTGTCTCATGAAAACCTGTAAGCAGGCAATGTCCAGCATCTGCAGCCTTGGGACCATATACCTACTTAAATAGCAAGAAAAAACCATCCTGGAGAAAAAAAAAAATTAACAGTACATAGGATAAGATGTACCATAAGATAATAAAGGACACCAAGAATAGAGCTTGATATTCACAAGAATCATTTCCTCAGTTCCAATATGCCGTACCAGTCGCTGTTTGAGGTCTATTGTTTACAGGTTCAGGAAAGTCTTACTGCCCCTGGAGAGAAAAATTAGACGGGACCGCATCGCCAATGATGCTTCTGCGGTGTGTGCTGAAAACCGTAATACTGGCTCCTAGCAGCCGTGGGAGACAGAGAACATTGCTTAAGGAGCCCACCGACGGTGCCAAAGAAATGCATTATTTGAATGAAGTCTTTGAACATAAATATGTAGTATCTGTGTTTTAGAACTGACAGAAATGCTCTGTGACTGAAGGCTTGCCCGAAGCCAGGAGGCATTGAAACCTACCAGAGGATGGTCTATCATCTTTCAGAAGTGAGTCTGATCTTTTGGGAGCAAGTCAGTTTGGTGGGACGGCTGCTATTTTTAGTGTCAAAAAAAAAGGACTTACATCCTGAGAGAAATTTTATTTTATTTTTTTTAAGATTTTATTTATTTATTTGACACAAAGAGAGAGAGAGAACACAAGGAGGGGGGAGTGGCAGGCAGAGGGAGAGGGAAAAGCAGGCTCCCCGCTGAGCAGGGAGCCTGATGTGGGGCTCGATCCCAGGACCCTGGAATCACGACCTGAGCCGAAGGCAGACACTTAACCGACTGAGCCACCCAGGCGCCCCTGAGAGAAATTTTAAAAGACCACACTATGTTCGGGAGATCCCGATGGTAGCACCTCTTTGAATCAGGTCCTCAGGGCAAGAGAGAAAGAAAATCAAGAAACTCAAATGTCAGTGGGCTAAGCAGAGGGCCCTTTCCAACTAGCAAGAGTAAGAGGAATTAAAAGGTAAGTTTTTGGACATTTTCCTCCTTTTGCTTTTTTGAAAACCGTAAGGGTTAAAACCTACCAGAGAGCTAAGAGAAGGCAGGCAGGGAGGTGTTTGGGGTCAATCAGATTTAAACGTTATGGTGCCATGAGAACGTGGGACAACTGCATTCAGTTTACAGGTAAAGATATGTCTGGTATGCAGAAAAAGAAAGGGGTTTAGTTGTTTGGGCTCTCATGATTAGCATTTATTAAAGATTACTGAAATTCTCCAATTGGAAAGACCTTTGTTTTTCTCTAAAGATGAAGAATCAACCACATTTAAAAAAGAAAAGAAAGAGACCTGTGTTAACTTGTGTAAATATAGTAAGAAACAGCCAGATGCCCAGGGGAGCATTGTCAGAACTCAGAGTCTAGGAAGACTTGCGGGCGTGAGGGATCGGGGTGAGTCGACCGGCATTTGGAAAGCAACTGCTGCTCCCCAGGCTGACAGCACCATCCTCTCCACCACTGAGCTATTGCCGCAGCAGAGAAGGTCCTTCTAGCAAACCAGAGCCCAGAGGCCAGTAGCTGACAGTGGTGCGAGACGTGCGTGCTGCCTAAGAAGCAAGCTGCACGGCAAGGGTGGCGCGCCCCAAGGACCCTCGGAGTAACCCCGACAGCTGCCCCCTCCACCCAGTCTTACCTTTTTACTGTTATTTAGTGAAAAATTAGCTGCAGACGTCTGGATTACTTTGGGCCCTAAAAGTGTAATAGAGAATGAGAAAAGCAGGTTATATCTATATCGCTAATTAATTTATTGATTGTTTTTCAAATGCTAAGAAAGACAAACATTATGTAGAGGTGGTCTTATTGTCCTGCTCTGTCCTTAGGGGACGTATAAACACACAGACACACAACATCCACACTGCTGCCCGTCATGACTTCCCAACGCAGGGGACACGATATGACTACCACACACCACATATGATTCCCCCAGGATCCATCTACGCCAAAACCTCTCCTTTGCTTTCAATGAGTGCTCGCTCTGTAGTGCTCGGATCCAGGAAAGACATCGTCTATGTATTTTGTGAAGTATAAAGATGTCTGCTAAAAAATTAAGACACATTTATCTGTTCATCCAATTAATCCAGTCTTCCAAAAATATTTATTAAACTCAGGATATAAAAAAGCATAAAATATATGAATGTACACTCAATGTATATTCCTGAAATAGCAGATATATAAGCTTCATGGAATCTTACAAGGTAATTTTTCAGAGCTTTGGCCTCAAAGGAAAGCAGCATGAAGCAGATTTTAATTTAATTCATCTAAAATCACTCTCAGCTGTGATGCTAGTTTTCTGGGCTGCCTCAGTGACCAAGTATCCTCCATTTAGAGGAGGAGACACACAAGTACGCACAGGACTATGTAACAAGTTCATAACAAATGCAGTGACATGTGTCTGGAATGTGTTCATGAATGCTGAGGAGGCTGTCCCTGTGTGGGAAGGAGGCTTGCACCCCCAGTGAGGCTTATTCTAAAAGATTCACAATCTGAGCAAACCCCTGTTCCAGGAAATAAGGCAGTCTGCTTTCTCAGAATTAAGAACTGGGAGTCAGAAAAGTCTAGACTCTAGTCTTAGCTAACTTGGCTTTCTGAGTCTGTTTTCACATTTGCAAAATGAGGGCAACTGAGTCAGTGGTCTCTAAGGCACTCCTAATTCTGAAATCCTAATAATGTTATTACCAGAGGACTGAGGACGGTGATTTTTGTCAACTTGACTGGGCCGTGGGTACCCAGATATGCGGCTAAAGGTGATTCTGACTGTGTCTGTGAGGGTGTTTCTGGATGAGATTCACATTTGAATCAGTGTATGGAGGACAGCAGACTTCCCTGCCAATGTGGCGGGGCGGGGGGGGGCGGTGGTCTCATCCAAATGGTTGAAGGCCTGAATAGAGCAAAAGGCTGAGTAAGGGAGAATCTGCTCTCTGCCTGGGCTTGCTCTCGGTCTTCAAGCTGGCCCATCAATATTCAGCTGTTTCCAGACACAGACTGGACCTTATCTGGCTCTCCTGTGCCTCTAGCTTGTTGATTACAGATCTTGGAGTTTCTCAGCCTCCATAATCCTATGAGCCAGTTCCTTATAATAAATCTCTCTCTCCCCCTCCACCCCTGCCCCTCTCTCCCTCTCTCCCCCTCTCTCTCTCTCTCTCTCTATATATATATATGCCTCCTATTGGTTCAGTTTCTTTGGAGAACCCTAATATAGAATTTGGTACTGAGAGTGGTTATAGAGGAAGAGTTTTTTCTTTTTTTTAAGATTTTATTTATTTGAGAGAGAGAGGGAGAGAGAATGAGCAGTGGGGAGGGGCAGAAGGGGAGAGAGAAAGAGACAGAGAGAAGCAGGCTCCCCACTGAGCAAGGAGCCCTCTGTGGGACTCGATCCCAAGACCCAGAGATCATGACCTGAGCCGAAGGCAGACGCTTCACCGATTGAGCCACGCCCAGGTGCCTGGAGGAAGAGTTTTTCCCTATTGGTTCTGGGGTTTCTGGAACTGGTTCCCTAACCTGATCAGGTGTAAAGATGGTAGTGACTCTATAAGACAGCACTGGTTCATGAAAATATGCAAACCATCTCCACTGGATACTCCTAGATTCAACCACTTCTAAGAAGGAGCTAAGTGACTCTATTTGTGATATTTTAGAATATTTTTGGAAAACAAATAGAATGAGGTTGACTGGTTGTTCCTAATGTCCCCGGACAAGGTGAGCTCCGGGGTTTGAATTCCCAGCTCCAGTGCTGCGTAAGTGATCTGACGGCTTCTGTGTGCCCTGATGGAGAGTCTGACCTCCTGTAGCCACAGCGCTGCGAGCTGCAAGTCAAGCCCAGAATCTCATCCTGCAACTGGCTGAATTACAACACAAGTTGAACACCAGCCTCACAGGCTGCCTCACTGCTCAAGCGATCCTGGCCTGGGGACGTGCAGGAAGATCCTAATGAAGATGGGGGCACGGAGCTGTTAAATTCCTATGCATCTTCTTTGCCACTGGAAGAGTTCTCCCCATTCCCAGTAGAAGGAGACAGACTCCCCTGACGGCCATGCAAGACAATGCTGATTCTGCTCAGCAACCTCGCCTCTCTGATTCTAGAACGATAACTAGACTCAAGTTCCAGCAGGCTCCTAAAGATGAGGTACAAGGTATGACCCATGAGGAGATGCACTACACTCCAAAAGAACTACGTGAATTTTCTGGTTTATATAGAGAGAAATCCGGGTAACATATGTGGGAATGAATACGAAGGGTGTGGGAAAATGGTGGAAAGAACATAAAGTTGGATTGGTCTGAATTTATGGAAGCAGGCCCACTAAGGAGAGATTCTGCTTTGCATGCTGGAGCTCAGGGAGTTAGGAAGGGCTCTAACAGTTTGGATGGTTGGTTAAAATGTGGACCAAAAGATGGTCCCCAGTGAGCAAATCAGAAATGCCACACCTGCCTTGGTTTAATGGAAAGGAAGGGATTCGGAGGCTTAGGGAGGTTGGAACATTGGGGTCGATTTGTCATTGAAGACCTGCTGGGAGATTCCAGGACACAGAGCTTTCACCACTGCTACGAGGAATAAATTTGTGAGGGAGGCCCCAGCATCCTTAACGAGCTCTATGACTGCCCTGCTCTGTGGACCAGATCTTACAGTAGGAACCATGGTCAGTGAACTGGGGAAACCCAGCACAATGGGAGTAACTGGACCCCGGGAGCGGGGGGGCCAAGCAGCGGTGCTCACCTATCCAAAGCAAGGTGGGTATGACTCCTGTAATGGACAGGACAGTCAAAGCAGCAATCAGAAGAGTCTGATTCACACAGACCTATGGGACTGGCTAGTTGATTATGGCGTTCCTAGAAGTGAAATCCACAGGAAGCCTGCTGAAGTTTGACTTAATCTGTGTAAGCAGAAAAGTCTAAGTCAAGTGAACAAGAGTCTAACCTGAATCATAAAAACAGAGAGTCACAGTCCATCAATAGTTTCCAGATTTGGGCCACTTTACAGACCCAAACCCGTTGAATGAAGGAAAGAAGACTGGGTTCCCTCAAGAAAGCACCCCAGGGGCGCCTGGGTGGCTCAGTTGGTTAAGCG